TACTAATGCTTAACCGAATTTCTATTTTTTCAGTTATTTTCCCTTTGGTCTAAAATTATTTCCCACATTTCCTTTTTGTTTGAGAAAACATTTCAATATTTTTTAGTTTTCCTTCATCTGAGAATGTCTTTATTTCCCCTTCACTGCAGAAAAAATATTTATACTAAACACAGAATTTGTAATTAAAAATTATTTTCTTACAGCATGAAAAAATACCAGCTTACTTCCTTTGGCTTCCGTGATGTCAGATGACTTAGCTGCTAACCATCACATTGAGTTCCCTATAGGTAGCATGTCATTTTTCTCTGTTGGCTTTAAGGATTTTTTTTGTCTTCAGTGTTTAGAAGTTTAATTGTGGTGTGGCATGCTGTAGATTTCTCTCAGTTCATTCTATAGTCATAGGGGTTTATATCCCACAAACTCTAGGAAGTTTTTCACTCATTGTTTCCTCTAATACTCTTTCTTAGCCCATTCTGTTTCCCTTTTGCTCCTGAGACTCCAGTGATACCAATATTGAATCGTGTTATTGTCCTACAGGTCCCTGAAACTCACATTTTTAATCAATCCATTTTCTCCCTATTGCTCAGGTTGGGTGAAGTATATTGATTATTCCTCAAGTTCATTGATTCTATCTTGTCATCTCCTCTCTTGTTATGAGACAATGCTATGAGTTTTTATTACTGTTGCATTTTTTCCAGGCCTTTAGTATCCATGTAGTTCTTTTATGACTTCTTTTTCTTTAGTGAGATTTTTCTACTATTTCATTTTTTTAAAGTGATGTGTAATTGTCAAAACATTTTTACTGTGACTATTTTATAATAATACTAGCCATATCATTACAGTGTCTGATTTATTTTAATAATGGTATAAATTGATTGCATATATATATGTGTATATATATATATATATATATATATATATATATAGAGAGAGAGAGAGAGAGAGAGAGAGAGAGAGTCTAGTTTTTTGAATGCTGGGTGATTGTTAATTATGACCTGGGCATTTTTAAAATTTTTAATTTTTTTTTTTAGTTGTAGATTGACACAATACCTTTATTTTATTTATTTATTTTTGTGTGGTGTTGAGTATCAAACCCAGTGCCTCACATGTGCTAGACAAGTGCTCTACCACTGAGCTAAAGCTGCAGCCCCATGACCTGAGCATTTTGGCTATTATATTAGAATACTTTGTGCCTTATGAAATAACCTCTTATTTTTGCAGTTATCATACTTAGATTTAATACACAGGTCTTAGCCTACTTGTAGACTGTTGCTCTAATAATGGTTTAATTTTCATAGTTTCCATGGTGCTGTTTGGTCTATTTGATTTATGTGGTACTTCAGGAGCTCCCATTACTCCCTGAGGGACAGATAGGTTTTCTCCAGCCCTGAGTCTATATGCCTCCACATGGGGGACTGGAGTGTTGGGAGGTCAGAGAAGGAGAGGACTTAGCAGGCCAGGTCTTTGTCCTGTGAGGAGTCCTCCTACTGTAGGGGCAGGGAATGATTCTAGGCTCTGCCATGTGTGGCACGATGACATTTGCTGATGCCTCAGGCTGCTCAGTGTTGGGGGCGGGGGGCTTGTTGTGTCAGGAGCTCTGTGCTGGTCCACCCTAACATTCCATTCCCCTCCCTGGGGGAAATAGAGTCATTTCCTGGCTACCTGTCATTAGTGGATGTCCCAACTCACCCTCTCATTGGTCTTATGGGGCTGACCTCATGTTTTCTGTAAGACTCCAGTCCAGTCAGGCAAGAATGAGCCTGGTTGGCCTGCCCTCTGTTGCTGGGTTGTTGGTTGGGAAATGCAGGGTCTGGGGCAAATTCTCTTGGATAGAGCTCATGACTCCCTCTTGCTATGTTGCTTCTCCCATCCTGAGGTCAGTGAGTGGGATGCTGTCCTTTTTCTTCTTTAGAGCTCTGTGGAGGTCTCTTGCATTGCTTCCAAGGTGAATGGGGTACTTAGAGATGAGAGCAGGAAGGAGTTTACTGTATCTTGTCTGGCAAGACCTCTTCCTAGATTTCCTAACATGACTTGAGTGGTCTTTTATGGCCGTCTTGCTGTCTGGTGCAACTCCAAGCTCTTGTTGATCTGGAATTGGAAATATCCCAACAGGTTCTAATTTATTCTGAAGGAACAGGCATTTGAAAGTCACATTCTTGTAGGTACAGAGACTCACCAGACGGGTCATTGTTTCCAGACTTGTTCAGTTGACACAATCACCATATTGTTGTGTATGAGGGTTTTCTATAGCTTATTAGTAATTTGTCATTTTAATCTTAAAACACATTTTGCTGAGATTTAAAAATATATGATCATAGATCTGTATGTTTTAAGTCTTTTCTCACATCTGTTATCTTTGTTTTCTAACATTAACTATTTGTTAATTATTTAAATTTTAATGCTTTAAAATATTTTGAAAAATTAACATTAATAGCTTATTATATTTATCAATATTATTTTATGTTAAATGATTTAGATGTATCCTAAGATTTCAGCAAATATTAAATAATTGAAAATTCAACTTTCCAGAGATATTGTGTTATTTATTGAGAGGAATATCTCATGTACTTAATGTTTATCTTTTTCTTAAAGTAATTCATTTTTAAAATTTATCTTGGCTAATTGCTTATTTCTGCTTTCCTTACATTTCCTGTACTATTATTTTATTGATATTTTAAATTAATGCTTTTTGATTACCTCTCACTTTTTTTAATAAACATAAACTTTTAAGAAACAATTTTTTTTTCTTTTCCTTGATTTTTTTTTATTTGATTGATTTTATTTTTTAAAATACATGACTGTGGAATGCATTACAATTCTTATTACATATATAGACTACAGTTTTTCATATCTTTATATATAAAGTATGTTCATGCCAATTCATGTCTTTATACATGTACTTTGTTGTTTTTTGCATTATAATTCTTATTACACATATATACCACAATTTTTCATATCTCTGTATATAAAGAATGTTGACACACAATTTGTTTCTTCATATATGTACTTTGGATAATGATATCCATCACATTTAACTATCCATGCTAATCCCTAGCCCCCTCCCTTTCCTTCCCACTCCTCTTCCCTATCTAGAATTCATCTAATCCTCCCATGCTCTTCCTCTCTACCCCACTATGAGTCAGCCTCCTTATATCAGAGAAAACATTCGGCATTTGTTTTTTTGAGACTGGCTAAATTCACTTAGTATTATCTTCTCCAGCGCCATCCATTTACCTGCAAATGCCATGATTTTATTCCCTTTTATTGCTGAATAAAATTCCATTGTATATATATATGCCACATTTTTTTATCCATTCATCCACTGAAGGGCATCTAGGTTGGCTCCACAGTTTAGCTAGTGTGAATTGTGCTGCTATAAACATTGATGTGGCTTTGGGTGTAGACTGAGGAGAGGGATAGCTGAGTCAAATGGTGGTTCCATTCCCAGATTTCCAAGGAATCTCCATACTGCTTTCCATATTGGCTGCACCAATTTGCAGTCCCACCAGCAATGTATGAGTGCACCTTTTCTCCCCCACATCCTTGCCAACACTTATTGTTGTTTGTCTTCATAATAGCTGCCATTCTGACTGGAGTGAGATGATATCTTAGAGTAGCTTTGATTTGCATTTCTCTGATTGCTAGAGATGATGAGCATTTTTCATTTATTTATTGATTAATTGTATATCCTCTTCTGAGAAGTGTCTGTTCAGATCCTTGGCCCATTTGTTGATTGGGTTATTTGTTTTATCAGTGCTTAGCTTTTTGAGTTCTTTATATACCCTAGAGATTAGTGCTCTATCTGATGTGTGAGGGGTAAAGATTTGCTCCCAAGATGCAGGCTCTCTGTTCACCTCAAAGATTGTTTCTTTTGTTGAGAAAAACTTTTTAGTTTGATTCCATCCCATTTATTGATTCTTGGTTTTAATTCTTGTGCTATAGGAGTCTACCTTTCACTTTTTAATTTTAACAAACATAAGTGAATCAGAATTTTGGTTATATCCAATATATTTTGATAGCCAATATTATTATCATTATTTTGTATATATTTTTTTTCTAAATAACTTTTTGAAATTCATTATTCATAGTGTTTTAAAATTTCAATTTGTTAATTTAAAAATTGTATGCATTTTTAATAATTTTTATGTACAAGGTCTTGTGCCAAATGAAAATGTTAATTCATCTTAATATATACAACAGTTCTCACTTCTATTTTTCTAGAAGGCTAAAGTTGACTTACAGTTTTCCTCTATTTGTTATAGTGGCTGCTCTTCAGCTCTTAGCCACCAGAAGATTCTCCTAGTGACCTTCAGGAGATAGTGGTGGACTCTCAAACCCTCCTCTATGAGTGTGTTTTTGGCATTGACAGTATTTTCAGACTATTATTAAATATAATAATGTTACAGTTGACATTTTCCTGGATACAACTTTATATTGTAATCAAATTATTTTGTTAGGATATAATATTTTTATCTTGAAAGAAAAAGACGTGAATTCTTTTATGGATCTGTGACTGCATGTTTTTATGATGCCAACTTATTTTACAAAAGTCTTATACCAGTGTGCTCAGCCAATAACAATAAAGGAATAAGTGCACTAGTTTTACTCTATCTTCCTCCGTGTCAAATACCATAAAACAAATAAGTGGATCTTACCTGAGAACATATTTTTCAGGGGGAAATGTAGACAAGCATTGTTTTATTTGGTTAGTATGTACTGGGGCTGTATGCTGTACCCAAAAGATGGTCTACTACTAGAGATAGAATGCTGAACAGGCAGGAAGTAAGAGATGGGAAGAGCCAAGGATAGGGGTCTTGAGAGTTCTCTTAGAAGCTTATGGAGTGAGGTGTCAGCCAGTCTGCAGGGGAAATGGCAGGGCTTTGCTCTTGTGACCATGTGGTATAAAATGCTTGTTGATCTTGTAGTTGCTACAGGGCTGGAGATTCATCTTAATGTAACAACTAATTAAGAGACATATTTGAATGTGCTTCATTTTGCAGGCTAATTACACTTTTTATTTTGTGGACCATCTAAAAATTTTATCAGAAACACTACTGAAGCTATCAAGTCTTTTCCAGGGAAGTGGAAATGGCCAGATGTTCAGCCAACTGCAGGTGAGTGGTGAGTGCCTTAGCCACTGAGGCTGGGAGAGCTGCCTGCTAGAGTCTGTCTGAGACATTGGAGAAGCCCTCTAGAAGATTCTACAAAGTCCTATCAGGCATGGTTTTCCCAGATGAAGAGTGGAATTGACATAAGATTGGATTCATGTAAGAACTTCTTGTGTCTTTTCAGTGTCTACCCATGCAAAACAGTGCTATTATGTGAATGATGAATAATTTGATAATGTTTACCAATTCCATATTAAATTTATTTTAAAGAGTTTGCATTCTTCCCAATTACAAATCTATTTTTTGTTATCATTTCCTAAGATTCTGTATTGACAACCTAATGTTGACAAAATAAGTGGGTTACGATTTTAAATGGCTTCTTCAGAGTGCGACCATCATTAACAGCTAAACAGATAGTTTACCTAGTAAATTTTTAGGGAATTTTTGAAATCCTAGCTTATGTTAGATCTGACCAGAGAAAATAGGTCTGCATTTTGGTTCACGTTTGGTTTATTCTTTACCTATCAGACAAGTAGTTCAGGTTGTGGAATGCAGATCCAGATCATTCGGGTTTGAGTCCAAATTCCTCTGCATTCCACCACCTGTGTGATCTTGTACTTGTTGCTGAACCTCTCTGGGCTGTGGGCCTCATACTTGTGAAATGAGGAAATAATAGTAGCTATGAGGTCTAAGTGAGATGGGATATGTAAGGCACTTGGAAATAAGTTGTGACACAGAGGAAATACTGCAGTGTGATTCCAGGTCCTCCAAGAAGCAGATGCCAAGGTGAGATTCTATGCAAGAATTTTATTATGAGAAATGGCTCTTAAAAAAAGAGGGAGCTGGCAAAGTTTTTTGGCAAGGTCATCTCCAACAGTGATGCAAATCAAACCTGGAGAGAAGGTGGGGGGTATTCTGGTCAGCCCTGCAATTGAATGAACACTGGGCAAGGCTGTGAAGGAGCTGTCGAGATAAGGCTGGTTATCAACAGAGGAGTCCTGGGTCCCGAGTCCCAGTGGCTCCTAGGAGTGGGCCTACCATGATGGTCCTTGTCCAGGAGCAGTCTGTGGAGGTGCAGAGTCCGGGCAATCCGGTGCATGCAGAATGCAACAGTGGGAACTTGGTCCCTTCTGTTCCTTGTAGTTGGAGGTCTACGATGCTCATTTTTAAAATTCGCTCAGGTATATTCCTTAGCTATTATTGTATTGTTATTCTTCTTTAATTTGTTTGCTCATGGATTAAGTTGTTAATAAATAGATCAGCAGACTTTTTTTTCTGCAATGGTTCAGGTAGTAAATAGTTTAGATTTTGATAAGGACTCTGCTGCCACTGCAAATAGTGACACACAATATTATGTGAAGTGCCAAGCTGACAGTATGCAAAGAACCTTGATGACATAAAGATGTAACTAACCCTGCCTCAAACACTGGGCAGGTCCTTTGGAAGTCTGTAGTTCAGCTGAGTGCCGTTTATTCCGTAGTCATGTCAGAAATTACAGCCACATATCCAATCACCTGAAGAACTTTTTATCTTACAACGAATCACATAAGTCTTATCCTATTTCTTAGCATTGGCATCATGTTCAGGGAGAGCTACCAGTGTCTGTACTGAAGTCCAAACTTGGTTCTGCCACTAGATGGAGGTGTTGGTGCCTTTATGCGATGCCCATGATTTAGTCCTGTTTTCCCCATCAGTAAAAGGCAACAGTAATTTCCGCATGGAGTGTCCCTGAGATTAAATGACATAATGTATAACAAAGTACCCTGTATGTTATCTGGCAAATAACTAATATCCAAAGAAAGAAGATAGGATTTTTTTAAAAAAAGTACAAGCACTCAGATTTCATAATAAAGTCTTGTCATCCTCACACGTAATTAGGTAGAATCATCATGTGAAGTGAAGCAAGTATGAGGAATGCAGAAGGTACATGCTATTTGAGAATTCCTAACATGAAATTCCCAAGTATGAGCTTATGTGGGGCAACAAAGCGTGCATAACATATAAATATTCTCTAAGGAACTAGTAAATTCCAAAATTAATCTCACTTTTTCATTCTGTATTCAGCCTCAGTATCAGCATTTTTTTTTTTTGTCAGATGTTGGATGTAGACGAACAATGAAAGTAAATGCATGCTAATTTCAAAATCAAGATGCAAACTTTCATTAAGGTGATGACAATCATTTTGGAGAAATCTCCTTAGTAATACCTTTGACAAATGGGATAGTGTTAGAGCCACTGATAATGGGAGGACAGTGGTACAGATGATGCAATGAACGTTTCTTCCAAAGATGAGGATTTGCACATTATAGGCTTAAAAGAGGGCCGAGGGAAAGTCAGAGTCCTTCTTCAGTGTTTTGGATGATCCTTTTTTACAACCAGTCTGTGGAAAAGTCATGTGAAGGAAGGGATCATATAGAAAGTAAAGGATCTCCACATAGCTCCATTAGAAAAATTTGCCCAAAAAGTCACTAATTAATTTATTTCTCATTTTCAGTATTAGCACATCATTATAATAATACCCTAAAATTTCATAATCATTACTTTGGTTTTTCAAGGTGAAGACTTAATCAAATGTTAACTCCTTATTTATGTGATGTTTTAGAACTTCTCTTAAAGTGTATTTGGTTTGCCTTTTTCCAATAAGATGAAACATTGAATAAGTCTAGTAAGTTATTCAATAAGGAAACATGAAACAATTATTTTTTTAAAGCTCTACCATTTTCCTTTAGGAAGCGCTGAACAACAAAATCATAAGAAAATTTGTAGAAAGCCAGTTTCACATTGATGTGGACAAACTCACTGAAAACCTCCAGACTTATGGTGAGTGAGCTGATGCACAGGTCAGGATTCATCTGTTCAGTGACTCTGCTCTGTGGGTCTTCCCCTTTGGTCATGAAGTTTCTGGGTGATATTTCCAGGTTACTTGTCCTTTTGGTTTCTATGTTCTTATCTGTAACCTGAAATGCTTGAACTAAATACACTCCAAAGTTTGTGCATACCTGTAGTTTTCTGATTTGATGATTCAGGGTTTGACTTGTAAAGAACTTAGTTAAAAAGGAAGGCTTCTGATTAGAATGAAAAAACTCTGAGTTACAAAGCAAGTGTATGAAAAAGTTAATATTGAGTTAATAGTATATTGAAAGCAGTTGCATTGACTTGAAAATGTGGAAATCAGATTAAAAAAATCTACCAATTATCAAACATTTATTATACTTCTACTACAATCCATGAATACATTTAGGTGTTTCACAAATAGAAGATACAAAGACAGCAGGTCCATGCAGGGATCTGGAGAGGAGTGTGAGCTATTTTGGTCCCACAGCACTTTGCAGAAGATGGGATGCCTATGCTTAGAAGCAGTGACAGTGAGACAGAATCAAGACTCTGTTAGGAATATGACAAGGGGCATGTCAAGGGCATGCCAAGGTCAGTAGCCTAACCCCGCTGGGGGACCTGGAGACAAGAAAAAGTTGTATGTCAGTTTTCTGGTTCTGGTACATTGGCATTCTGCTTTGTGCAAGGGACAAGGCTCAGATCTGCTTGAAGCAAGTGGCTTAGAAGAAGTCAAGGTTTTCTATTAGGCATAGTACTTCCCTTCTATGAAAAAAGTATTTGGTGAATGTACCACTTAATTGAAGTTAATAATACAGGTTGAGTATCCCTTGCCTGAAATACTTGGAACTATTTGAGATTTGGGATGTTTTTAGATTTTTGGAGTATTTGAATAGGCATAATGTATTAGCTTGGGGATAGGACCCAAGTCTAAAGACAAAATTCCTTATGCTTCACGTATACCTCATATACAGTTAAAAGGCACATGATAATTTACAAGCATCACTATGCTTGTAAAACTACAGCTTTACAGTATGGAATTTTCCACCTATGGTTCATTTCAGCACTCTGAAAGTTTCAGATTTTGAAGTATTTCAGATGGTTTTATGATTTTAGGATGCTTAATCTGTATTACAAAATAAATGTCACTGCCTAAATAATATTTTCAATTAAAACATTTTTTTTGTAAAACATGTCTTAATTGAAAAGCTTATTCATAACAAGGCTCCCATCTTGTGTTGTTGGAACCAAAGATTGACAGAAGTCCAAGAGACTTTTGGTCCAGAACATGCATGGTCTCATCCCTTTGCACCTGCAGTGGTGTGGATGTTGATTTGGTTGTCTTACAGTATGCAATGTACTTGGGTCCCATTTGTTCAAAATGCTGCTGCTGAGAACCAACTGTTTCAGTCAGCTATTTTGCTTCTGTGACTAAAGGACCCAACTACAACAATTATAGAGGAGGAAGAGTTTATTTGGATGCTTATGGTTTCAGAGGTCTCAATCCATAGACAGCCGGCTTCATTCCTTGGGGCTTGAGGTGAGGCAGAACATCATGACGGCAGATTGTGGCAGAGGGAAACAGCTCACATGGTAATTCGAAAGCAGAGAAATAGAAAAACTCCACCCTTCAGATACAAATATATACTCTAAAGCCACATCCCCGAGTCCCACCTCCTCCAGCCTCACCCCACCTGCCTTCAGTTACCACCCAGTTAGCCCCATCAGGATTAATTCACTGACTGGGTTAAAACTCTTAGGACCCAATCATTTCTCTTCGGAACCTTCCTGCAGTGCCTACACATGAGCTTTTGGGGGATACCTCATATCCAAACCAAAACAACAACATTGCTTTTGAATAGTTTTTTTCTATATATAAACTTATATTATAAAATTAAGAGGAATTCAGAAATTCAGACATTTCTCTACAAGTGTGTGGGATCCCAAAATGTGAGATTCACATGGAAGATTCAGATTATGAAGTAAATTCCTTCCCCTGTCCCAAATTTGGGGACTGAAGATCCTCTTATCAGCTAGGAGGGAATGGGTTATTTTCCAAGTGACACTGCACAGCCCTTCATGAACAAGCACAGTGTGAAGACAGGCACCCTGCAAGGCTCTGGTTGTGGAGGATTGATCATAGAGGAGAGGCAAATTTCTATTCAGTTTTTGATTTTTGTGATGCTGAGGACCTTATGCATGCTAGGCAAGTGCTCTAACTCTGAGCTGGACCCTGCACATCCCATTTATAACTCCTTAGCTAAAGAATTCACTCACCTTTCTGCATACATCCTTTTAAAATTTAGACCTTCATCATACATATATTTATTCATCCTATAACCAGTATCTGGAGACTGCCCTAAAATGACTATTTGAAATTATATTAATGCAATCCCTGGGAATGTTTTCCTACCCACTGTGTGAATTTTATACATTATCTAACTTTACTTTTTTTTGCTTATCATACAAGCAATATATATCTGTCATAGAACCATTACAAGATACAAATAAACCAGAAGAAAAAGCCACTCTTCATCTCATCAAAGATAGCTATTGTAAAAGCCTTGGAGTTCTTTTTCAGACAGATTTATATGTACTTACGTGAGTGCAGGTATGTGCATTTTGACAAAAATGATCATATTATCCTTATCATTTTTAAAATGGTTTGTAAAAACTCTATTGAAAAGGTTCTTCATATTCAAAACTATTGACTTTGTTACTAAGAGTGTTCTGAGCCCCTTCCTTCCATTTTTATTCCTGAGTATGAACTGCTTTAAACTTATTTAGTGATTTCTTCTGGATTGGTTATTATAGCCTTAAATGATATGCCTATAGTAGTCTTTCTTGATTTATTCATTGTAGGAATTATCAATAGATTTCCTGTTCTGAAGGATGGAGATTGAGTTCTGCATCACACCATTTCCCCGCCTGGTTGCTCCCACTATGGTTATATGACCATTCTAGTTGTAATAAAACATAATGACTAGATAAATATTGTCCTATGAAGAACTAGGCTATGCATGATAATGAAATTTCCTTTTTTACAATGTTCCCCCTTTCCTGAAGATTCTTGTTTTCTTGCTTTTACATGCAACATTTGCTCTTCCTTACCCTGCCCCCACTGTGCCAATCTCTTCTTTATGTTTAGTCCTTCTGTCTATGCAGACAGCTGTCAGAGCTCCTCCCTCCCTCCCACCCTTGCAAAGGCAATTGATCCTTCTGACCATCACTGGGCTGCTTTCCTGGGAATTCTTTGCTGTCTGGGCATGAGCTAACACAATTCCTGGGGTCCACATCTTCATTTTTATTTTATTTCCATGTTGTGTTGGCTCATATTCAAAAATGTCATCTGAAAGATGGGTGCAAAAAGGAAAAAAAAAATCGGAGTAATTTTACCTAGCAGTCTCATCAAATCTGAAGACTTGGTGGAAATATTTTATTCTTAATTTTTTTAAGAACAATGATTTGTGTACTCTCTCTCTTTCCCTACCCCCCTTTTTATCAGTCTTGTTAGAAAATATCAATATTTATTAATATTTTCACAAAAATATTTGATTTATTGCATTATCTCTTTATGCTTATTTTCTATTTCATTAATTTTGGGTCTTTTCTGTATTGGCCTCATCATTTTATGATCTTTGGTGGTTATTTTGTTTTTGTTGTCATTTACCAAGGATTGAACTCAGAGATGTTCAACCACTTAGCCACATCCCCAGCTTTTTTTATATTTTGAGACAGGGTCTTGATAAGTTGCTTAAGGCTTTGCTAAATTGCTGAGACTGGCTTTGACCTTGCCATCCTTCTGCATCAGCCTTCTAAGCCACTGGGATTAGAGGTGTGTGCCACTGTGTCTGGTTTTTCTTTCCTTTTTTCCAAATAACTCCTTGAGTTGGATACTTATATCATCAATTTCCATCATTTTAATCTTTTCTATATTAATACATATTATGTTATTATATATATGCACATATATATATATGATTAAACATTTCCCTTTGAACATTGCCTTAAATGCATCTCACAAGTTTTGATATGTTCCACTTACCTTATCAATTAAAACTATTTTTTTCATATCTAGTATAATTTTTTGTGTTTTGGGTAATTTAAAAGACTATAGTTTCTACATATCTGGATTTTCTATTATCTTTATATCTCTGCTTCACAGTGGTCAGAGAATGTACTCTATCAAAATGATGACATTTGTTTCAAATCTCTTGAGACTCGCTTAATGTCTATACACATGGTTAACATTGGTTTCTGTATACAATGGTTCTGCTACTGTTGAGTACAATCCTGTGTATCCTGTGTGCTTGTTTTATCAGTTATTAATTTTCCATTATGATTGTAGATCTGTTTCTCCTGTAAGTTCTGTTAATTTTGGTCTTATATATTTTGATACTGTATTTTATTTTCTTCTGAGAACATATATGAGATATTTATATTTCCCCATTAGTATTTCAATTCTTCCTTTCCTTCCTTTCTTTCTTTCTCTCTTCTTCTCCCTTCCTTTTCCCTCTCCCTCCTTGTTTCCTCTCCCCACTCTTTTTTTCCTATTTCTTCCCTTTCCTTTTCAGAAGTTTTAGTATGACTTGATTTGGTATTTTTTTAAGAGAAAAATTGCATGGTTTTGTAGCACTTCTTGAATCAGTGGCTTGATAGCTTAGGGAAAAGTTGTGGCCATTATGTGATAAAATATTTCTTCTGACCATTTCTCTCTGTCCTTTTCTGCAACTCTAATTAAACATGACTAAAATTTTTCATACTATCCCTATTGTTCTTATATTCTTTTCAATGTTTTCCAACCTTTTATTTTCTCTCTCTGCTTCAGCTTGTGAATTTTTTGTCAGTTTTTGAATCTATTAATTCTCTCTTTAGTTGAGTCTAATTTGATAATAGACATTCCCATATAACTTTTTTTAAATTTCAGTTATTGTATTTTCCATTCATATTTACATTTTTTTAAAAAAGAGATTTTAGTTCTCTACTAA